AGTCGGGCTTGGGTCACGGGCTTGAGTCGGGCTTGGGTCATGGGCTTGATGGCTTGGCCATGTAACTGTAACAATAAGGATGTTAAAATTATAATTATTTTGAGTAAGTTTCATAAATTAGGTTTTTATATAATTTGCAACTACATTTTGAATTATATATTTAAATTAAATAATGCAAGAATGTTAGCCAAACTTTGTAAAGCTGGTATTTTATGATAAAAACTACATAAAATCTGATTTACTAAAACTTACATAAAATTATATATACTGTAAAATTGTAATTTACATAATACAATCCTAATTACAGAAGCAGGACAATATAACCTCTCAGACAATTATTAACTGCTGAAAAAAGACCCAAATAGTACTGATAAATGAGTAAAATTGGTCAAGTTTGAATACGACAAATAGAATTAGAAATGAAATTGAAGTTGACATCGAAATGGTAGATAAAACTGAAGTTAAAGAAGTTGAAGAAATTAAAGTTAATAAAGATGAAGCCAAATAAGCCAAAGTTAAAGAAGCTAAAGTCAAAGAAACTGAAGTCGATATTGAAAAAGAGGTTGAACAACTTATTCTTGAAATTCCTCTCATCTTATACAAGTAATGGCTGCTAATGATTATATCCAGATTAATAATAATCTTGAAGCAGAAGAGGTTACTAATAATGAAGCTGCCATTATTGAAGAAATTTGCCATCAGTTAAATTTTAGTAATAATGATAAGGATAGTAATATTGAAATTGAGACAATTTCTCATTTTGTTGCTTTGAATAAATACAAATCACTTATACTATATGTAAAACAACAGGACCTCATAAAATTCGTAGAAGACCAAAACCTACCAGTATTATGAAACTTGCTAAAATGAATTTGACTGAGTACATTTTAATCAAAGAAACAAAAAAGTTAACTGAGTTTTTTTAAGGCATTGGTTATAGAAAAGATAAGTTAATTCAAGATTACAAAGGAAATTAACAACTAGGTATATAGTTATAGAAGGATACATCACAATTTTTTTTTTTTTTTTTTTATTCTTTTTCTTGGACGTTATT